CCCCCCCCCGCCACCTTGAATGATGGTCTAGTAGATTATGTTGTGCGGGGTCGATAACCCTCACTCCGCGCAAAGGGGGTATTCGCACCACGTTGTGTTAAAATGTACCTGTCTGTCTGTGTGGTCCACCAGCAGCACCCTCGAGGCGGTTACACGGTGCTTACAACAAACTGTCTCTGGAAGTGAAAGCACCAGAAAATAAATTAAGTCATACATACGCAGCTGTCATCCGTACCCAAGGAAGTAAGCGCAAGATGCAGAACACCCTTAGCAGGATGCAGCGCACGCTTCATGCGACTCGCCGAATACCTGACGGCGCTTCGCGCTTGGTGATGTGACATATTCATGACGTGGACACATCAGGGACTCGCGCTCGCTCGGACGCTGGTGAAGGAAGAAAGAGATAGACCGAACTGTTTCGAATCTCAGAGCGCTTGGAGCAAAAACACTACTGCCACCCTGGCTCCGCAAGAAACACAAGCTGACAAGATGTCAAAAACGGCGAAGTATACTATCATTACACCAGTAGCTCCGACGCGCGAGTTTCTTCAATATCGCCCCAAAACAACGAAAACCCGGATCGCGTGACACGGGATGACGCGGACACAGCTCGCAAGCTGGTAAACATAAAGCGCGATTGTAGATCCAACTGCTTCGAACGTCAGAGCGCTTGGCGCAGAAGCAACACCCTGTTTCCGCAAGAAACACACGGCGAAGATCTCACAATCGCCAAGACAGCAGTGGGTCGGGCCTCGCGCACGAATAATGCGGCGAAACTAACCCTGAGCTCGTGAACAACACAGTCCCGCGGCCTGTGATTGGCCGAGCTGTAGTTGATGTCATCTGGATGGCGGCTGTTCGACCTTCTCTCCATATTGACAGCCCACCAGCCCACCAGCCACGAACCTGCCGCCTACGTTCACTCCGTTTTCTGCCCACCACATCCTACACCTTTCTCTTCCCACCACCACCTCACATCAAGATGAAGTCCTGCGTTGTAGCCGCTGCCTGCGTGGCCGGAGCCCAAGCCTTCGTGGCACCCAGGTGAGATCAGCTGTTGTTTCAGGTTGCTGTATCGCATGCGCTGGGTTGCTGTGATTGTTGTCATGGGTCATGGGTACACGACAACGTGATCATGCGCCCGTTTGCTGGTCACGGTGATGCTACTATTCTATTGCATGCGCTTTTCGTCTGTCCCATCACCCAAGCCCCTCTCCTGGTGTTCCGGAGAGCCCGCTTCAAGTTTCAGAGTTCCATATTGAGACAAGTTCGTAGCCTCCACATACAGTTCTTTGGGCCGTTTCTTGCATCGAAAGAACTACCTCTCGTACTTGTATTCTACCCTTCCTTTTCTCCCACGCGCTTTTTCTAGCAGCGGCTCGGTAGCAGCGGCTCGGTGCGTATGGTGTGGGGACAGCGAGTTGTATAAACTAAATAATCTTGGGCCAGAACCCATGTGCATGTGCGTACGTGCTCACTCGTATGATGCCTCGCTCGTTGCAACACACGAGGCCGTCTTGCCAC